CTCTTCTAACCGGTTCAGTAGATTTGACGAACCGGTTCTACCAAATAGGTGCGAACTGGTAGGAACCCACCTCTGATATACAGAGAGTCTCACACTGTTGAAGGACAGTTTGTCTAGCTGGGATATGGATAAAAATCTTTGAGGTTTAGCAAATCTTCCAAGAAACATTAATCACCACTTTATAGGTTTTCCCCACTGCTTGAAAATTATCCAGTAAAACGAAAATGAACGACTGTGAGATATTGAATTTTATATTACTGGATGGAAAAAAAATCTCTACATCTCCCTGTCTTTCTAATTCATATGCAATTGGAGGAAAGAGAAATGACTCTAAAAATTGCTTTGAAGGAGAAAAGCATTTCCACAGGCCCGTTTGGGGAGTGGTGTCTCTGATATTATTTAGTGATAAAGATACTGAGGGGTGTGTGTGTGTGAGAGAGAATATCTCAGGGGTGTCAAACTGGATTCCTTCGAGGGCCGCATCAGCAATGCAGTTCTCCTCCATGGGCTGCCAGGGGCTGAGGAGGAGAGATGGAATGGATTCCTCTTGCAGCACCCTACTGACCAAAATGGGGCATTGGGGGGGCTTGTGTGGCCCCTGCATGTTTCATTTTTGTACTGGATGGCCTCCTGCAGCACCCTGCTGGTCACAACAAGGTGGGAGAGCCTCGTGAGATCCCCCGTACCCCGTTTTGGCCAGCAGAGTGCTGCAGGAGCACTTCCAGGCCAAAAATGGGGCATGCAGCCCCCTCCCCCCCATGCCTTGTTTTGGCTGCCAGAGGCACTGCGGGTCTTTTGCTATTTCCAGGCTGGCCCCGTGGGCCAGATTTAAGCACCCCGTGGGCCTTGAGTTTGACACCCCTGGAATATGTTGTTTTTGATTATTCTGTAATCAACCCATCTCCCTACCCTTAATTCCAAGAAATCCCAAGAGAAAAAAACATTAGGAATTGAATATAGTCCTTGACTTGAGGGACTCAGTGGCTCAGCAGCTAAGACGCTGAGCTTGTCGATCCGAAAGGTCAGCAGTTCAGCGGTTCGAATCTCTAGCGCCACGTAATGGAGTGAGCTCCCATTACTTGTCCCAACTTCTGCCAACCTAGCAGTTCGAAAGCACATAAAAATTTGAGTAGAAAAATAGGGACCACCTTTGATGGGAAGGGAACAGCGTTCCGTGTGCCTTCGGCGTTTAGTCATGCTGGCCCCATGACCACGGAGACATCTTCAGACAGCGCTGGCTCTTTGGCTTTGAAACGGAGATGAGCACCGCCCCCTAGAGCTGGGAACAACTAGCATGCATGCATGGGGAAACCTTTACCTAATTCTTGACTTACCACCTTTGACTGTTTGATGTTATGACACTGCTGAAAAAAGTGACTGATTGTCACTCTTACAACTATTGCATCGTCCCCAAGGTCACATCATAAACATTTGGGCACTTGGCAACCGGCATTTATATAACAAGTGTGGCAGCGTCTTGGGGGGTTATGTGATTTGATTTGTGACCTTCTAGCAGGCTTCCATCAAGCCAAGTCAATGGGGGAAGCCATGTTTGCTTAACAAGTGCACAATTCTCTTAACAGCCGCAGTGATTCACTTAAGGACCATGTCAAAAGAAAGGTTGTAAAATCAATCACGATTTGCTTAACAACTGCATGGCTTAGCAATGGAAATTCTGGTCCCAGTTGTGGTTTGATGGCGAGGTCTACTTGTACAAATCTCCCTCCATCGCTCTCCAAACACAACGGTCCTTTTTCTTCCCCCTGACCACAATACTTTAACTATTTACTTTCTCATTGCCTCCCTCTTCCTAGCAGATTAATTAGTGGCTCCGATGGACTGCAGATCCAGAACGAACGCACCCGCTCCATATTGCTCTTCACAAATGTTACCGTTCGACATTATGGAAATTACACCTGCCTGGCTTCGAACAGCCTGGGCTCCTACAATGTCAGCTTACGGCTTATCAGTGAGTCTTTCCTTCTCCTTCTCTTCTCACGCTTCGCAAATGGCTGGGGGGGGGGGGGTGTGCCGTAAATTTTGCACCACCTACAGGACTTTTTAGAAGCCAGAACTCCTGGAGGTCCTTTGGATAGATTTGTCTATGGTGATTCTCAGTCATCCAGGTCCATGGTTGTCCCAAAGGTCCTGTTTTTTCTCTTTCCAAAAGGCAACTGGACTTTGTTTTTCCTTGAAGTGGTTTCGCTTCTTATCCAAGAAGAAGAAGAAGAACTGAAGAAGCTTCTTAGATGTGAAGCGAAATGTCTTTACGCTGGCATTGAAATGTGCAAGTCTTAAAGCTGTCAAGTTACAAGATCCTCGCACCCCTACCCCTTTAGGGAAAAAAAATCCAGGGGTGTTCAAAGTTGACAGCTTTAAGACTTGTGGACTTCAACTCCCAGAATTCCTCCTCTCGCTCTTCATCTTGATGATGTACGGACGGGCGGGGGGAGGGAGCTGGAACCGGTTCTAAAAGGGCACTGTAGATTTGTGAAACCTCTTCTATAGAAGAGGCTAGAACTGGCAGAAACCCACCCCTGATCCTTCCAAGGTTGGTAAATCAAGGACCCAGATTCTTGGGGGCAATATCCTGATATTCCAAACCGCTAGGCCTGCGGAGTGGTGTGTATGTCTAAATGCTATTGTTCATTGCTCATTGAAACAAGAACATCTACAATGGTAACCTCTTGTTTCTCTTTTTTTCTCCAAGGACCGGGTTCTCTGGACAATGTAGCAGTGGCCAGGACAGAACCTCCTGTCCTTTTGGGTTTGCTGTCATCTGTTTTTGTGACTCTGTTGTTTAAGATTTAGGGCGCCAGGGAAAAGATGCAGAACAAGGAAACGGAAACAGGTGAAAGGGAAAGAATCCAAGAGAGGGGGAGAAAGAGAGAAGGAAGACATCTCTACTTTCTGGAGAGAAAAAAAAAATGAAGAAAGAAAGAGGGAGAGAGAAATGAAATTTATCAAGAACCCATCACTGTGAGGGATAGAAGAAAGCAAAACAAAACAACGACAAAAAAAATATATGCATTTGTTTCTACCGCCATTTCTCTTCACACTTCATCTCAGACACTTTCGGTTGAACTACTTGTGGTTTAACACAACTGCAAAAGACACAGGGCTCTAACAGTGGATGGCAACGCAACAGTCCCCCTTCTCCTCAAGCTCTGTGGTTTAATAGAGAGATCTCCTCCTCTTCCTTGGGCCAGTTGGCCTTCTGAATGCACGGAACCTGGAATGTTGATTCCACAAAGGGTTGTTTGATTGTTATCGCTATTATTATGATTATTAATTTTCTTTGGGGTTGTCCTTGGGGATTTTTTTTTTGTTTTATTTTGTTTTGGTCTTCTTTTTTTCTGGTGGACATTTCTCACCAGGAGGCTACATTTGAGAGGTTCCTCTTTTGTGTTGTTATTTACTAGGTTGAGAATCTTGACATTCATTTAACCAGGTTATTTCAGGTGGTGTGGTCCAGTTTAGCAGCCAAGGACCAGGCAGAGGCTCAATAATTTCAGTAGGCCTCGTAGCCTGGGCTTCGAAGCTCTCCTTGTCCAGTGTCTTCACGAGAAACATTGGCATCAAGTTCAACTCACTGCATGAAAGCGGTCCAACGTTCTGCCCTTGGGATGCATCTCAGTGACCCTCAACATCCTCTCTGCTGCCATCCCAGCGTCTTTGGAAGAAGGATGAAAGAAATCTGAATTTTTCAGGCATGGCATTTAAGCTATCGGGGTAAGAAGGACTTCTGCCAATGATTACTAGAGGTAACTTTCTGTTGTCAAGAGACAAAGACTACAAAATAGGAACCAATGGTCTGGCTGTTTGATCATCCTGGAAATTTCCTTGCTTTTTATCTTTGGGGTGGGTGGGTCTATTATTCGCTGGAAAACCGTGGCTTGGAACATCTGCCAGCTGTTTAATTCGCTTCTGTTTTCCTTTCTTTCCTTTTGCACTTTTCACAAAACCCTTTTCCCTACCCCCCCGACGTGTCATGTTGCTCCTTCACACAACCGGCTGGCTTAATGGTTTCTCTCTTGGTGGTCAACTTCTTAACGCAACAACCATGCCCTGAAAAGTTTTTCCTTATTTCTGTCTCTGTTCCGATTTTTTAAAATTTTTTATTTTCATGTCCTTGAGAAGGTTCTTTTTATCGATTGCACTTTGGAACATGGGATCACAGGTGTGCTTATTCAGTACTTCTGCATTTTGCAAACAACTGGGGGGGTGGGGTGTACGGTAGAGTGTAGAAATCGGTATCTAGAGATAGCGCATGCAAAAATTTAAATGCTCATCATCCTAATGGCAAAGGTAAACTTAAGAGTGTGTCCACAGATCTTCTGCTAACATAACAAGCCCAAACACCTTTCTTATCATGATAGATTATTTATACTTATCATGGTAGGTTTATAAAGTTACAGCGTTAAGGTTGATAATGGCTGTATTCATGCTGTCTCTTTAACCAGATTGTTGAATTTATGCATATTCTGATATTGCACAATATATCAAACCCTAAACATATCCTAATGGCCTGGTTTCACACAAGATCTAAAAGATATAGCCAGGCCTGAAACTCGAGAAGCATAGCATGCTGTGTGAATGTAGACAATAGGTCCTTATCAAACTTGGTTAAATATGTCGTGTGAATACAGCCAACATGTTGCCTTCCCCATGAGAAGATGGTTGGAAGTGGGAGATATCTATGTGTGGCAACTGTGCTTATCCTACTTTTGCATCTGGATATAGTTTGACAGGTTTCTGCCTTTAGAGATTGACATTCCCGGTAACAGAAGACAAATGCTTGCTGCTAAAAACTAGAGTAAGATGCATGAGACAAGGTATGTCAAGCAAAGATGGAATTTCTTCCATAAATCTTTTTAGTATTGCTTTCTTCTGGCGCGCCGTTCACACAACGTAGGTAGCCTAGTTATAGCATTTATCCATTTTCTGGGTTTACACTGCAGGTGAACCAAGGGGACTGGGTTCATGCAGTGGGCCCAATTATTTATTCAACAAACAAACCAACAAACCACTAAACACGGTTAAACATTACCAAAATTGACATGTTGTGTGAATACTGTCCACCAGATGTGTAAACTGAGCTAGTTTTGAGTGTTGGGTGGAGCCAGGCACGAAACTCTTGTGCTAAATTTCTCTCTGTGTATGTGGAAAGGAATGGCCTATCTCCACATGGGAAGAAAACGAGGTAGGGAAATTCTTCCCACAAGTATGAAACTCTAAGAGGCAGGCAAGTTTGGGAAGAAGTAGAAAAGTTTCACTTGAGGTCTTTCTGTGCTGGATGAGTGGATATTTCTCACCCTGGACCCCTTTCAAACTTGTGAGTTTCAACTTGCTAGCTGGGGAATTCTGGGAGTTGAAATCTACCATCCGAAAGGGGCCAAGGTTGAGAATTAACTGCTTTACAGGCCAGCTCTGTCGATAGGCCAACATTTCTCTGTATCCCGGAGGAATTTTACGTCTAAATCGAACGAATTAAATTCCCCACCTCTTCCAGTTCTGTCATCGGAAACTGTTATTTTTCTTCAACACCATACTATACGCCCTCCTACCATAGCACAAGTAGTAGAAGAGCATCATTTCTGAATTTGCTAGGAGGGTAAAAATGCACCAGGAATGACTGATTCAATTATCTTTGCATCTTTTTAAATATATATATATATAGGAATTTATATATTAGGAATTTTTTTCATACCATAAAAGACAAATTTAAAAAAGAAAGAAAGAAAAAGAGAAGTAAAAAGTGCAAAAAAGAAAACGAAAGGAAAAGCTAAAGTGCAGAAATATACGGATGACTTCCATCCAGCCTTCTTTTCAACAGATAATTACAATTATTATCTCTTCTCCCTCTGAAATGTTACATTATGATAGTAGCATCTTCTTGGCCTTCCCTCTGGCATCTTTCCTGTGATTTTTGCGCCTTTCGACAGGTAGTCCTTGATTTAAAACCTTTTCATTCAGTGACCATTAAAAGTTAGCGCAGCACCGAAAAAAGTGAGTTGCTAACTAACAGTCCTCACATTTGTGAATGTTGCAGCATCCCCTTCCTCTCCTCCCCCTTCCCTGGATCACAAATCACGTGATCAAAATTTACCAACCATATGTTTATGATTGCTGCGGTGTCCTGAGGTCATGTGATCACCATTTGTGTTCTTCCCAGCCAGCTTCTGATGAGCAAAGTCAATGAGGGAAGCTGGGTTCGTTTAATAACTACTAGATTCACTTAACAACGATGGCAAAAAAAAAGTTTGTAAAAATTGAGTGCAATGAGCAATGAAAATTCTGGTCCCAATTCCGGTGATAAGTCGAGCTCTACCTGCATTTCTTTTCTGGCACTGAGAAATGCCATGTTTGCAGTGGAGGTCTCGGTTCTCATGACGCTGCTGTGGGAAGAAATTTCCATCTGGTTCAGTTCCAAGCTGGGAGAAAGGCACTGGGGACAAAATGGAAACTGGAGGCTGATTGGGAAGATGGTTTAACGATGAAGCAGAAGCTCATAGGTGGTTCTGGTGCTGCTGACCACATGGAGTTGAGAGTGAAGGGGGAGGCTTTGAACTTGAGCTTCCTGTTCCTGTGAAAGAACATGCATTCTATTGGCTGTTGTCAGACTTCCACGGGGCCAAGTACAAATCCTAGGAGTTTGTCTGAGCTAGGTTTGGTTGAAGTTGGGGCTGAGGCAATGAAGGGGCTTGTTGGGCAATTCCTATTGTGTCTGAGGGCTAACCCTACCTTTCTTCAGACTGTGCTGCAGGAAGTAACGGATTACCAAATCTGCATTTCTAAGACCTGGCCTTACCTTAGTATCTGCTTGGGGGGCCAGGGAGATGGGGCTCTGAGTTTCTGTCTCCTTTAAGATTTTTATTTCTTTTAAGGGAAATATTTTATCCTGCCTTTTTAAAATATTTCTCACATTTTTTTTTTCATTCTTCTAGAAGACGGGTGGGTGCTAATTGTCTACACTGCAATAGGAAAAACGGGAAATGTTATGCTGTCTTGTCTATGGAGATTCTCAATCATCCAAGTCATGGTGGTCCCAAAGATGCTTTTTCAAGAGGCAATGGGACTTTCTGTTTGTTTGTTTGTTTTTTTTCATCAGCTCTGAAGAAGCTTCTTGGATGAGAAGTGGAACGTCTTCAAAGAAAAACCAGAAAGCCCAGTTGCCTCTTGAAAAATGTACCTTTTGAGGAATTGCAGGAGAATGCACCTGTGCATTTCCTGTCAAGTATCTTCAATCCTCTACCCGTCTTGGACCAGAAACTGAAGATGTGTTCACATATTTTATTTTGTCAGCATAGGAATGAAAGCTTCCAGTTTTCCTAACAGGTTTGCATCTAGATAAAGTGTGCGAAATATGCAAAAAAAAGAGGAAATTATGGGAACGTATTGTAGCCATCTGCCTGGAACGGTATAGGGTTTCCTGCCTAGGCAGTGGGTTGGACTAGAACAGTGTTTCTCAACCTTGGTGACTTTAAGTCCTGTGGACTTCAACTCCCAGAATCCCCCAGCCAGCATAGCTGGCTGGGGGATTCTGGGAGTTGAAGTCCACAGGACTTAAAGTCACCAAGGTTGAGAAACACTGGACTAGAAGACCTCCAAGGTCCCTTCCAACTCTGCTATTGTATTGTATTGTATTGTATTGTATTGTATTGTATTGTATTGTATTGTATTTGCAGCATTGATTTAAGCTGTTGTTACACCTCCGCTTTTCTCGACCCTAACATTTGATTATGCATTATGCAGGTATCCGGTGTTCAGTTCATATTTAAAGACAGATTATGAGCAGCTCAAATGCAGCTTTGTAAAAACCATGGTGAGAGAAATGTCATTGGATGTGATCGTGACAGTAGAAGTCAGCTTCTAAGCTCTGGGCTTTTCCTTTGGCAAGCAGCGATAACTATGAAAATAGACGGAGGATTTTCACGCTGCTGAATCTCCAAGGCACTGAAAGAGACTTTTTGGTGGGGCTTGGCGTGCCCAAAATTTAGAAAATGCCTACCTTGATGCGTGTTTCCCTTTCCCCTTCAAACATATGGGATATACAGATAGTCCTCGAATTACTTCCTTTGTGACTATTCAAAATTTCAACAACACTGGAAAAAGCGACTTATGACCATTTCTCACACTTGTAACATCCCCATGGTTGCAACATCCCCATGGTCCCATGATCAAAATTCAGACACGTGACAGCTGACTCATATTTATGACGGCTGCAGTGTCCCAGGGTCATGTGGTAATTTTTACAGACTTCTGACAAGCACAGTCAAAGCAAGATTTACTTAATAACAACCATGTTACTAACTTAATAGTGATTCACTTAACAACTTGCGGCAAGAAAGGGGGGACAAAACTCACTCAACTGTTTTTTAGCCACATACATTTTGGCCTCGTGAGTCGAAGACTACCTGTGTCAGATTTACATGTTTGTTTATTTTTTTAAATATACAGTATCCAATCAGGAGTGATGTTCCTTATTATATGAAGGAATGTCAAATTTCTACAGAAATGAAATGCAAGTAAAATAAACTTATTTTCGGAGGTCCCAGAGGCCGTGAGAGAACACACCTCATTCTCACACAGCTTTTAAAGAAATCATACCAGAACAGAGTATGCTTTCAAGAATAGTTGTCGGTGGAGATTCTCCGTCATCCAGGTCATGGTTGCCTCAAAGATGCTTTTTCAAAAGGCAACTGAACTTCCTTGGTATTTTTGAAGACATTTCCCTTCTCATCCAAGAAGCTTCATCAAGGCTTCACCCAATGAACTTTCTTGGATAAAACCCAAAACATCAGTTGCCTTTTGAGAAAAGAGTCTTTGATTCAAGAACAATTGTTGGGCTTGGCCAAGGGTTGGCAACCTTAAACACTCAAAGAGCTGCAAAGGTCCTAACTGGAAACCTCCCGTTCAATTCTGGAGCCAACCAGAAGTCTGGTTCCCAAACCATAGTCTCCTCCTGGCGCGGCGTCCTTTTTCCTCTACATGTCCTAACCGAAAGCCCTATCAATTGTGAAGCTCACCGGAAAACCCACCCCTTGCCATAGAGTCTCCTCTCGGCATGCTGTGCTTTCCCCTAAAGAAGCTTTTGGAAGCGTCTCTCAATATTGTGGCACTGACCAGTGACAGGGGGCCACAGCAGAGGGATGAAAGAGCCGGGTTGCTAACCCCTGGCCTTGGTGAACGCTGGCGTGTCACCCCAAAACATGGCATGTCACCTTTGACACGTGTGTCGTAGGTTCACCATCACTCCCCCAAGTCCTGTCTCCTTGGCCCTCTCCTCAAATAGCAAAGCCTATGTGAAGAAAGTTGGCTTTTAAAATGGCCTAAGTTAGGCAAAATGAAAGGGCCACTTGGTTAGTTTTGCGGAGTTGATGGAGGTAGCAAAATGCAGCTTTTCCTGGTTCTCACCTGGTTACAAATTTCCAGGTATTTGGAGAAGTGGATAGTAGAAGGAGCTCTAGAAATAATCAAGAACCCTTTTCCAGGAGAAGCCAACCATTCTCTGCAGTGGATGGGCTGTTTTCTTCAGCTTGATGGCACAATAGAATCCAGTTCTTCTGGGAGTTTGGCAAGATGCATGTCCAGCTGTCCCTACCCTCTTCATTGTTACTTTTATTAGGCAACTATTGTTATTCAGCTTTCCTTAGCCTGCGCAGATGAGTCTTAAAATATAACACATCTGTAGAGTTTCGGATTTGGGGGAAAATTCTTGTGGTTCCAAGATATACTGAAGAGCAGGGTGGAGAGGAGAACAGAACCCAGAAAGGAAATTGCGGTGAAAATTGGGGATGCTATAACTAAGGGTAGTCCTCAACTTACAAGATTTTATTTAGTGACTTCGGAGTTACGGCGGCATTGAAGAAAGCGACTCAAGACCATTTCTCACACTTAACAACCATTGCAGCATCCTTACGATCGTGTTCAAAATTCAGACACTTGGAAACTGACTCATACTTATGACGGCTGCAGTGTCCCCCGGGATCATGCGAGGCCCTTTTGCTACCTCCTGACCATCAAAAGTAATGGGGGGAGCAAGATTTACTTTGCTAACTTTGCCACGTAACAACTGCGGCAAAAAGGTCGTAGAACGGGGCAAAACTCACTGAGCAGCTGTCTCGCTTAGCGACAGGAATGTTGGGCTCAATTGTGGTCGTAGGTCGAGGACTACCTGTGTGCTTTCAGCACAAAGGGAAATATATAGCTCGTTTGCTTAAGTCTCAGTGTTTTTTCTAAAAAAAAAAATCGGGTTTGAACTGGCAGCTCTCCAAGATGATGGTCATTTGCATACATGAGGATTAGGTCTGGATTTACTGATAAAGCTCCAGGAGATTTGCAATAGGTCACAGGGATTTCTGACTTCAGCGTTTTTAATGCTAGAACATTAAAGAAAAAAAAAAAAAGACAAAAGTGACAGTAAGGCAGGCCTGAAGTTAAACTGGTCCAATAAAGAAAGTTTGAAACCGACATGAGGATATTGGGGTGCGTGGAAGTAGTAGGTGCTTTATTTGGTTCAGAATATGTATTTTTGCAGAGACAGGAGCCTTTGGCTCTGATGTCTGGATCTTGTTGTTTGAGGACGAGGGCAAATAAGACTTGTAAATCTGATTGCTACCCTATAGGTTGTCCTCACTTAATGACCAGTTGCTTAGCAATGGTTCAAAGTTACGACAGACCCCCGTGGGTACTTACAATCCAATTCCAGAGTTTCATTGGCAGCATAC